AGATAGATAGATAGATATAGATACATAGATACCAAAATTCATTTCTGAATCTATCCAAAGAATTGTGTGCTGTATTTCATTATATTCTACATTATCTGTCATTAGACAAAGCCTTGGATAGTGTCTTGGAGGTGTAGAAACCATCAGGGAGCTTCAAAGCAAGAGGCTGAAGTAATAGGCCTCCTATTGCCATCTTTCCCAGCACAAGTCCTTGCTTGGGGCGTGACAACACTTGCCTCTTTTCTAGACCCTGAGGGCCCTCTTCCAGTACAAACCCCAGAATGTGGACGAGCTGACGCTAAGGCCCGACGACTACATCTTTGTGGACCCCACTCAGCAGGAGGAAGCCAGCGAGGGCTGGGTGATCGGCATCTCCCATCAGACGGGCTGCCGGGGCTTCCTGCCGGAGAACTACACGGAGCGAGCCAGTGAGAGTGACACCTGGGTGAAGCACAGGTGAGTGGCCCCTCTAGCCTCCGGCGGCAGCCCAAACATCTCTCTCTGAGTTAGCATCTGACAGCGTCCGTCTGAAAACAGTGGTCGCAGTGTTCGTATGCTTCTAGAACATTCCACCATTGGTAAAAATTGCCTCCTCTGTGCTGGCAACATTATCCCTGCAGGTATACAGTGAATATCTTGGTTGATTTGTGCTTTTCTGCTGATAACGTTCAGAAAACATTTCTGAGATAGTAATCCCAAAACAATTGCAGAATACCACTTCCTTGGTATGACCGTAATAAATTATAGTCAGATATCCTAAGCTTGGGCTTATTTATCCTTCTGCTCAGTGTGTAAACTGTTGAGTCCTAAGGTGCATTATTAGTTTACTATTGCTATATAACAGATGACCATGAACTTAACAGCTAAAACAGTAGACATTTATTATCTCGAAGTTTTCATGGGTCAGAAGTCTGGGCATGGCCTAGCTGGGTCATCTGCTAGGGGTCTCCCAAGGCTGTGATTGGGCTTCAGCTGGGGCTGGGGTCTTATCTGAGGCTGGCGGTCCTCCCCCAAGCTCACATGGCTGTCGGCAGAATTCATTTCCTTGAACTGTAGGACTCCTGGTGGCTTGCTTCTTCATACTCAGATGAAGAATCTCTTCATTTTAGTATCTTTAGCATCCTCTGGAGAGGCTGAGGATTTTCACAATCATCAGGTACCAGTTCCTTTTGTTTAATGTTTTTTCCTTCAATTCATCTCTCTCTTCACACATTTTACTATAAGCCACAAGAAGAAACCGGACGATACCTTTAACACTTTGCTTGGAAATATCCTTAGCTATATAACCAACTTCATTGCTTATAAGTTTTGTTTTCTGTGGACAATTGCACTAAACCTCTTGCTGCTATATAATAAGGATCCCCCTTCCTCCAATTTCCTACAACATGAAACTCACTCCCTCTAAGTCCTCACCAGTGATGCCTTTAATGTACATACTTCAATTAACAGTCTGTCCAAGGTCATTTAGACTTTCTTATCGTGCTTCTCAAGATCCTTCCAGGCTCCACCCG